CGCATTCCACCTTAGTGGCATCTGGAATATCTCCATGCACTTTTCGAATTAAAAAAAAAAGAATGAAAAAATTTGTCGGCGCCCTCCAAAGCCCCACTGTCTGATGTTGCCCTTGTTTCCAGCGATTGCCGTAGTTAGCGACAAGGCATCGCTTGAGATCAAGGTTCGGGTTTTGTCCGCGGACTAGGAGGGCGTAAAGTTGTCAATCGCGAAAAAATTCCCTCCATCCGGGCTTTAAAAACAAATAATTTTTGTAAATTAATTCATGGAATAACTAGGCAATAATTCGAAGACCTTGAGGAGATTTCTATAATTATAAAATAACGGATGACTTTTATAATTTTCAATATTTAAACTTTTTTCGATCCAATAGTTGACGAGATGAATAATGGAAATTTTCCAATTTTCAGTTTAGTTGATGGAAAACAATTTGGGAATCATTGGTAACTATTTTTTAATATTTAGTAAATTATTTTAGCGTTGATAATTAATAAATGAAAATATAACAGATCAGCCTTGTGAGTGCACGTCCATTCCATCACTTTGTCGAAAATTTTTCGAAGAATTTGCAAGCCAGACTCATTATCATTATTACTAATTGCAGTGAGACCGACATTAATAACAAATCTCAATTATCGCCGAAAAAAATCTGGAACTATCTCCAGTCTTAATTGTTCTTAAAGAATCTACTTGCGATAAAACACAGAAACCTTAAAATGTGAGTACGTGACTGCAAATTGTTTTCACTGATTATTATTAACAATAGTGCCACAACAATTCTCCAAATAAATAAATAAATCCACATAATCTATCCACAAAACGACAGAGAATTGTTATTTTTTAGAAGAACAATTACTGCATTTTTCGTTGTATTAATTGCATGAGCTAGTGTTTCATTAAAAAAAATTAGACTCTTCATTCTATGATTAAAGGGTTTTATGAAGATGGGATTAAGGGCAGAATATAATTGTTATTCTGATTCCGAATAAATATTGTTTTTTAGATCTGTTGGACCTCGAGGAAATCAACATAAATGAAGAAATGGAAACATAACCTGTGGAGATGATGCAGTTGAATGAAAAATCTCGTCGATGTTTCATAAACAATTCTAAATTCACTGAATGGTAGGAATATTTCTTAATAAACTATCTCGCTGATAAATTAATTCGTGAAGACTTCTCTCTTCCATGATTATTTTGTCCCAATAAACACTTCAAGTAATGAATAATAAAGAAGGAATTGGAGACAGAATGATGGGTATAAAACGAATTTCCCTTGTCTGGAATTACAGAGAATTTATTAATGCTAATTTCTGGCAATGAGTATTACCTAATTACACATGAGTTATGACTAATTGCAGAAGTTATTGGCAAGAGGAATTTTAATTGCTTTATTTTATTATTCCAGATCTGTGGGAATGATTCGTCATGATCCAGGGTATAATAAATATCGATTACTGATAAATTCGTAAAGCCAAATGCAGGAATGTGTGATTTGCGAGGCTGAGAGCGACTGTTGAGTGCTGGGTATTGCAAACATTAATTAGCTATTAGCAATGATTAATTTAAAACATGAAAGAAGGAATGTAGTCGATAATTTTCATTACATTTTCATCACCAGCCCAGAGCATTTCACACAGAACCTCAATGAGAAAATAAATTCAATTCTCATTTATGTAGTACATTTATGTAGTACATACATTAGCAATTAAAAACTATTACTCAATTGAGTTTTTTGAATTTAAAATTCAAAAAAATATTACAAAATTTTCCTGATGTGATCATCGACTATTTACGAATTAATGAATAATAATTATTAATAGTAATTAGTATTATAAATGTATTATTAGATACTGTTGTACGATAAAGATGCGTCTTTGTGAAATCGATGAAATCTGTCGTGATACTTCAAAAATAGTGAAATTCCTGCAAGACCGAAAGGTACTAGCAAGGGAAGTACTATGCCCCAGGTGCAATGAACTTATGAGTTACGACGATCAGAAACGTGCATTCAGGTGTTCTAAGAGGAAAGCTGTACAAAATGGCCACAAGAAAAGGATGAGTGTAAAATGCGAAGGATATGTGAGCTTATTTCGTGGATCATGGTTCGGCAATATCCGGATACCTCTCTCCACAGCCATGAGGTTCATTGGACTGTACCTCATGCTGAATCCACCGAGGCAGGAGTTCCTCAAGTTTGAATTAGCAATCTCCTCTAATACGGTGGTAGATTGGTCGAATTACGTCAGAGAAGTTCTGATAGACTGGTGTGAAGAGCACTCAGTTCTTCTGGGTGGATCTGGAAAAATAGTGGAAATAGTGGAGACTAATGTTGGCCATCGAAAATACAATCGTGGAGCAGTGGCTGAGGAGAAATGGTTTTTTGGTGCTTTTGAAAGGGACAGCAAGTCGCACGCTGTCAAAGTCGTTGAGGACAGATCACCTGACACACTTTTGGATATTATAAAAAAGTGGATTAGACCTGGAACAACAATTATTTCTGATCACTCGAAATCGTGTCATGAGATGAGTCAGGAAAATTATGATCACCTCGCTGTTGAGCATTCCATCAATTTCGCGAATCCTGCGAATGGGTCGCATAAAAAAAGTATGGGGAGAACTTGGCGACACATGAAGGAAACCGTGCAGAAATATGGTGCGAGGGATCAACATTTTCATGGATATTTTTGTGAATATTTGTTCAAGCGTGCAATAGAATTTCCTGATAGGATTGAAACGTTCTTTGGTGTAATTGCTAGAACGTATCCACCCATTGCCACCGCCATGCCTCCAGATTCAGACTGATGTACGTCATAATTACGTATGATTTTTCCTTTCTAATACCACAGGAGCTCCAAAATTATCGGATATCTCCCAATAAGTTCATTACAAACAATTGCACGTGTTAATTTGGCAGATTAATAAATCAGGAGCGCGAAGGGCGAGTGATTTTTCTGGAAAATCTGACAAGCTCGAATGTTGGCAAGGAACCTAGAGGGAAATATCCGATTAATTTTGAAGCTCGAGTCGTACTCGGGGGATTATTTTTTTCGTTCAAACTTCAGCCGATAGAATTCTCCCATGAGACCAAGTCTATATTCAAAAAATGAGAAAAGATATTTCACTTGATGAATGACAGAATTAAATTGGATATGTCAATTTCAATCGGCGTATTCATATGTATAAGTAAGAGAATAAATATTCTAATTATATTGGTGCAATTATATTGGCTGATTGGACGGGAAAAATAATTGAGTAATTTCAATTTCATTGAGATAAAAAATTCACCGTTGGATATTTCAACAGCCAATCGTGCCATCGCGATGGTATAAAAATAAAAAGCGATATCAATATTGTCCCCAATTATCCACTGTATTTAATGATGTTATTTACGTTTGAAATAAATACCAAATATTTTTCTATTGTAAGGAACAGTTGGTGCTCATTGAATTATTATTTTATGCATTCACTATGGAATTGAAAAAAACAGATACAATTCCCTTGTTTGTAAATAAAAAAGACACAATTACTAGAAGCTACGTCACTGATGACGATATCGAATTTTCGATGCTATGAACCCAGTGCGTTGCGCCCTTGGTGGGGGGCCCCAGCGTTGGGCTGTCCCTAAAAATACCAAATCGATATCGTTAACTGCCCCCGAACTACTCGACCGGTGACCATTTACCAGATAACCAGACATTCATTCAAATACTTCTGTAAAATTCACCACTCATATTTCACCTACAAGTCATTAACAAAAATTTTCACCGCTTCCGCTCTCACCCTGAAGAAAATACAAGTCACTCCACAATAAAAAATCTCTACATGTGTCACAGGAGAAAAAAAATTCACGGGATAAATTTATCCCACTCGAAAAGAAAAACATTTACCTACCTAAAAATACTCGGAGTCAATCGTCAACTGGCGTCATTATATTTTGAAAATGAAGAAAGAGAAAAATCTGGGGTTCCCCGTGCATTTAAATACCAGAGGAGCCAACGACGTAGAAAATATGAAAAATAAAAAAAGGCAACACCGATGTTCCCTTTTGTTGGGTCTCGAATTTCAGGCTCATCCCCTCCTGGATACATTGGAACCCCCGACTGTCTCCAGGCGATTCTGAAATCTCTTGTAAACGAAATCTTCCGGTTCAATCAGCTATCGGTGGAATAAATTGAGAATAAAATCGTTGTCTTTTCAATTCACTCGAGTTTTTTCTTCGTCCTCCCCTGGTGCCCCCCTCAACCCCCCCCCAACCCCCTGTACACTCAATTACCAGTGTAAAAACTTGGATATTGATTATTCGCTGATGGAATAAAAATAGGGGATGGGTAGAGGTTAATTAGGGGTGGATAATTTAAAAAATCGTGTATTTATCAATTTTTCCGCTTTTTTTTAAATGAAAACGGGGAAAATCGATCGTGCACCGAGAGACTTTCACGAAAGCAGGCACCCTCCCTGGTTTCACCATGGGTTGGATGGAATAGCTGGGGGTTGAAAGCAGAGGGAAAGACCAAGTATAAAACGTGAGGGAGACAGTGCGTTTGATACCACGGGATACGGCCTTGCTCTGTTGATAGGGAAACACCACTGAATCCAGGGGGCGATTCCGGGGGTGTAAGGAGGAAAAGAGACCCCTCGTCTCGTCATACGGACACGTGTAGAAAAGAGAGACGAGACGAGCACCACGAAAGGGAGAGTTACGTGGGGTTGAAAAAAAATAGAGGGAGAGGAGAAGGAAATAGGGCGAAGAGAATAAAAAATATGTCCTGTTAAAAATTTTTTGTTGTAAAATATAGTGCAAAATTGAAGGGATTGGAAAATTAGGGGGTGAGATTGTTGGAATTTTTTATTTTTAATGTTTTTTTTTTTGGGAAATAATGAGTGTTTGAAAATCACAGGAATTATGTTTTATGGATTTTTTTTTTACGCGGGCTTTTGAGACGGGAATTGAGTTTTTGGGGGTGGGGATGGGGGAGGGTGGGGCACATATCGAATTTTTGTTGATAATAATATTATACGGTTTTAGAAGCATGAGGAGAAAAATATTAATTACAAATGGATAAGAGGATAATAAAGCTAGTAAAAGTGAAATTAATAAATTAATAGAACTTTTAAATAGTTTAAATATATGGATTATGAGTGGAGCAAGCGGAGAGGGTGTAAAACACAAAATGTAACACCAAATAAAATATAAATTATTATTATTGTTGTGGATAAGAGGAGAAAATGGAGAATGCGATTTTGATTTTTTTTTGTGGATTTTAGTAATTTAAGACATACTAGTTTTCTAAAATTTTTTTTTGCGATAGTTTCGATGTTTAAAAACTGGAGACAATGAGATCTGCAAGTCTCTGGGGTTTCGCACCCACGAAGACTGAGGAAAGTGTGAGAAGAGCGGAAAGACAACTCAAGAATCAAGAGTTTTCATTTCTATTAATTATCAATAGAAATTACCACAAACACTTGCACTTCTCATTAATTTTATCAGGATAATCTGAATGTTTAATGAGAAAATGTCGTCAGGAGAACTTGTGCATGTTCCGGACAGGAAATTATTTATTTTCCGTGGAGATTAACAACATGAATTTTCAGTTCTGTCTGATATTTCCAGAAAATCCTGAATTCCTAGTACCACGATGTTCTGTATATGTTAGATTTTTTAAGTCTCGATATAAAAACAGGCTGTGGCCTTTGGGGTTCTAAGTCATCGAAAGGAGGGGAGGGGGGAGGGAGGAGGAAAAAGGGGAGAGTGCATACATGGCGGGCAGAAAATGATGAATTCTCACTGTAAATTCAAGACAAAAATTTCCGCTTCTGTCTGGTATTCCCCGGAAATCCTAAATTCTCAGACAAAATAAAATAAATATCCTGAAATTGTCCTTGAAATCACCCCACGACAATTTCCGCAATTTCTCGACGGAAAATTCAGA